AGGCTTCTCTCTCGCTCTCTCTCTCCCCCCGCTTTGATTGATAAGGTCATGCAAGAGGCTATGGAACACTGAAGGGGGTTCTTAAATGGCCTTCATCAAACTCCCTTTAAAAGAGGGCAGGCCTCGCATTTAAGGAGGGGGGCAAGTAGAGTCACCTTAAATGCTTCAAATCCCTCTAACTCCGCAGCATTGATAACATCATTGTATGAGACCAAACTATATTCACATCATAATGCTTGCACTTACTACTATGATCTAACTCCTATCTAATCCCATGCGCCACATTTAAGAGCCCTTTTGCTCTTGAGAAAATTATGGTATTGAAAGATCCGTGTGAATAAATTAAGCACAAAAGTCAATTTGATAAGAGCCACAGTAGCAGTCTTTGTTGGTTAACCGCTTGTAGATATAGTGCTTATAGACCCCTCAACTACTACATCTATCAATAAAATTCGGCAAATGGAACTCATATTATTAAATGCTTAGATTGATTGTAAATCATCCACTAACTGAAATGTTTGACAATTATATCTACCCTATTATGTTATTTAAGCTTTGTTTTCATATTAATCTAATATGAGATATACAGTTTCTATCGTCATATGCTTTGTATCCTAAGCATTTTGCTTGATGGATTCAGGAACTTAAGTCAGGGAAGAGGAAGAACAAGGAGGAGCATATGGGTTTCTCTTTGATCGGCAACTCTCTCAAGCATCATGTGAGTATCATCCTTGTATGCCTACATTATTTAACTCCCATGAAATCACGAACTACTCGTTGTGAACGAGCATTCATGATCTTTGCCCGACCTTAATTCTCATAAAGAAGCTTGGGGCCTGATGGGCAGTAAAGCGCATTGAGGAGGGGGAATAAATATATGGCGTGTGTTGGTGTTATTTCTTCTTGAAATCAATCCACCAGCTTCAACTGCAACAATAAATTGAAGCGCCTCCCTGTTTGGTTGTTGGAGCATGAACCCATTTATTGTTATCATTTGTTGTTGTTGTTGTTAGTGTTTTAATTGTTGGTAATTCCATCCAAGCCTTACTTGACTAGGTTGTACAAGTAGAAGAAGGTGGTACGCAATTTCAAAAAGTCTAACAAGTACATGCTAGGCATTTCCCCTTTACCTAGCTAGAATAACAATCAATGTTTAGAAAGTATTTACAGGCCCAATCCATTGCATTAATTGATGCAACAAAGAGAGGTCCACCCTTTGCTTAGTGGACTTGCGGATTTATTTTCTGGTCCAACAGTTGAAATCCCCTAGGATGCAGTGCACCATGAATATAAGAGTTAATTTCGGTTACACCTCTTGTATTATAGGGTTTTGTTATGTATACCCCCTAAACTATTTCATTAGCATTTTATAACTTCGGATGATATTATTTCCAGAGTAAGATTGAGATCTCACATGAGAATCCATGATGGTGAATTCCATTTTATTTCATTTTAATTGGAAATGCTCTAAATTGAGGACAAAAGAGTAATGTCGTCTAAGATCCAGGGAGTGTAATTGGTAATAAAAAGGTTTAGGAGGTATAAGCTGCTAAATCATCATAATATACTGTATACATCTACAATTAATGCTTAATACAATATGTCGGGACCACTAGATACTTTATCATCAATGTTAACAGAACTGCACTGGTCATTTCTATGAAGATCAGTCGTCAGTCTTTCATGGTTCAAGATATGAGGAGAAACTCTCTAGTTATGCATTAGATTGATAGATGTTAGTATGTTGATACAAGTTGAAGCTTATTACTTGTGAGAAGAATTCTTGGTTAATGTATTTGACTAAGTATGTTGTTTTTCCTATTATTCATGTTCAAGTAGTCAGGATCAATGGTGATGCATTTGTTGAATGATTTTCTAGGACAAAGATAAGGTGCTCACAGGATTGCAGGTACAAAAATCAAGATCGAATGCTTTACATAGCTAACTTGTTAAGGCCATTTTCTTTCTTTTTTATTCTGGAGGAATTAAAACAAATAGTACCTTCACTGAGATCAGGGGCATAGTTTTTTTTTTTTTTGGGTCAATGAACTAAAATTTTATTCATTTTCCAAATTGAGAATGAAAAGAACAACAAGGTACCAGAAAATCTAGAAATCAAAAGAAAATTACAGGTTCTCAAGTATATCTTTCATATGCACATTTGAAATATCATTATGAACTTTTGTAAAAATTGAAAACTTAATATCACTAAAAATCTGAGCAGGTTGCCTCATTTTAGCTTGGAAGATTCTTTGATTCCTCTCCTTCCAAATCATATATACTGCAGTGGATAGACACATCCTCTTCAATTTCTTCATAGGGCCTTTACCTTTCAAGTTACATGAATACCAGTTCAAAACCAAATTCCATACACAGGACCTCCACCTATATCTCAGCCATTCCATCACCAAATTCTAGACTTCAGCTGAATATTGACATTCAAAGAAAACATAGTTCCTTGTCTCAAATTCATGTCCATTACACAGGACACAATAAGTCCGATTAGTGCTCAGGATACCCATTCGGCACAATCTATCCTTGGTGAGTAATCTTGAATGACAAGCTAACCACAATATGAAAGAATGTTTAGGATATAGAAAACTATCCCAAACAGTTTTAGCCCAGGAAACTGCATTCATAGGCTGGATAAGAGTCTTGTACACTGCAGATAATTGAAGTTTGTCATCAGTGTAACATTCAGCAAATGGCAATCTTAATATTATCAGCACTTCCAAACTTGTGCAACAACATATCTCTCACTTTGAGGAGTTGCCTCCATGTCCATGAATCATTTGCCTTAGATAGAACAACCCAGATATTTTGACACTGTAAATAGTTTCCGTGAATCCACTTGATCCATAGTATATCCTTTTTAAGATGAATCATCCAAAGGAGCTTTGTAGCAGCAGCATAATTCCAAAACTTTGCTGAAAAAATCCCCAGACCCCGTTGCTCCTTCCCTTGACACACAGATTCCCAATTCACTAGGTGAAATTTATGTCCCCACAGGAATTCAGAACACATTCTGTCAATTCTCTCCAAAACTTTTATTGGCAAAATATAATTGCTGATGCAATATGTTTGAATGCCTAGTATAACAGACTTTATCAACTCAAGCCTACCAGCATAAGTTAGACATTTTTTTGTCGCCAGGATTGGAATTTGGTTGTTTATTCTTTCAATAAGGCTAGAGCAATCAGAATACGAGAGTCTTTTTGCATTCAGTGGCAGTCCCAGATACTTCATAGGCAGTATACCCTCAGGGAATTTTAGATAATTGCATATTTGAACTTTGAGACTACCGCTTACTCTGCTAAGGAAAACAGAGCACTTTCTTGAATTAGTTTCCAAGCCAGATGCTTGTCCAAACTCTTGTAGACATGCGTACATTTTTACAATAGAGTTCATGTCAGCTTTGCAGAACAAGAGCAAGTCATCGGCAAATATCAAATGATTAATCTTCAACTTAGAACATTTCAGGTGAAATTTGAAAGAGGAGTCATCCTTTAGAGTACTAAGCTTTCTAGATAGAAACTTCATTCCAATGACAAAGAGATAAGGGGAAAGATGATCCCCTTGTCTTTAGCCTCTTGCACCATGGAAGTAGCCATGCAGCCCCCTATTTAATGCTAAAGAAAATTTTGGAGAGGAAATACACTCCATGATCCAGCAAACCATGATAATAGGAAACCTCAGTCCAACCAACATACTTCTTATGAACTCCCAGCTAATAGTGTCAAAAGCCTTCCTCAGATCAACATTCAGAATAGTTCTTAGGGAGTTATTTTTCCTTCCATAGTGTTTAATAAGTTCATGAGCAAGTAGGAAGTTACTGGATATGAGCCTCCCTTTCACAAAAGCACACTGAGCATCATTAACTAGATAACCTATAATCTTTTGCACCCTACTAGCAATGACTTTAGAGATGATTTTATAGATGACATTGCAGCAGGAAATATGCCGATAATCAACAGCTGAGGTAGGGTTAAGGACTTTGGGCACAAGAGTAATAGAAGTAGTATTAAGGGAACCCAAGAGTTTACCTGATTGAAAGAATTCTTCAACTGCTAGAAAAAGATCCTCACTGATGACACTCCACGCAGCTTTGAAGAAGTAAGCATTGAAGCCATCAGGCCCAGGGGCCTTGCTATCAGGCCTGGAGAATAATGCTTGCTTAATCTCCTCCCTAGAGACAGGAGAACTCAGTTCATTCCTCTGAGCAGAAGTTATGACAGGGCCATTAAAGATTACACTAGGATCAAGAATTGTATTGACTTTAGCATTCCCCAGCAACTTCTTATAATAATCTATGAGTTATGAGGTAATTTCAGGCAAGTCTGTAAGCCTGGAGCCATCAACATTATATATTGACAAAATTCTACTCAGATGCCTCTTTGATTTCAAAACTGAATGGAAGAATTGAGAGCCCTTATCTGAATGAAGCCCCCATTTAATGTTTGCTTTTTGCCTAAGGAAAGAATTTTCATTTTCCAACAGAATAACATATTTCTTGATGCATTCCCTCTCTTTTGAAATCAGATCAGAGTTAAAAAGATCAGTACTCAGCTTGGATTGGATAACCAAAAGTTCAGCTTGAGCTCTTGAAAGTTGCTGACTAATGTTCATGTAGCTCTTCTTGTTTAGATCCTTGAGAACATGCTTGAGATTTTTGAGTTTTGAATAAAACATGTACATGTTATACCCCCCTGACATTCTTATTCCAAGCTGACCTTACCACTTCTAAAAAATCTAGGTGTTTAGCCCACATATTAAATAATTTAAAAGGCTTTTTACCATAAAAAATTTCATCTCCAATAGTAATAAGCCCAGGGGAGTGATCAGAGCAAAGAGGCATCAAATATTCCACTTGACTTGTTGTATGTTTATTAATCCAATCTTCATTTACCAAGGATCTATCCAGTCTACTCCAAAATCTTGTTCCAGCATCTTGCTTGTTGTTCCATGTGAAAAAGCAACCAGTAGT